AAAAAGTTGTTTTGCCCAAGGTCACACAGCTAATAATTCCTGGGGTCTCGTTTAAACTCAGGTCGTACTTCAGCGCCTCTGATCAGACTGAAGTGGTACCAAGATGCTTTGTGAATGATATGCCAATCAGTTGAGAAGGGACAGGTGTGAGAAGGTCTTGGGGGACGCTCTGCGATGAGACCAAGAGCAAGGCCCTCCTTCTTTCCTTTGCGAACAGATGATTGGAGCATGCAAGAAACTCAGAACCCAGATTTGTTGTTGTTGTTGTTGTTAAAACACTATTCTGTCTTTTCAACACTGCTTAGTAGAAAAGTTATAGACACATTTCAAGGCTTTTTGAAAATGAAATGATTAAACCTGCGTGGCAGGGTCATTGTTAAGAAACACAAAGCCAACTGGTCTTAAATTTTTTTTTAATTTAAATGAGGCCCAGCCTTCACTCAAATCAACGGGCATTTGTCTATATTTTTCAATTCCTCGTTAACTTTTTTATTTCACTGGAATGAGATTTCCAAGAGAACCCTAAAGCAATTATAGAGAACACTGGGGCTTTTTACTAACTTCTAACGTAGCAAGCCACGGTAATTTAAATGGAGCGGATGAACTGCTAGGGGCGGGAGATTTCTGCTGAAGAATACAAATGCGTCTGTTCTCTGCTGCACTGATTCTGCTGTTCTCCGAGGAAAGGCAAAAGAGCACGCCGGAATGGGATAGAACGTTTCCAGCTGGTAGTTTTGCATTATCAGGAGGGAATGTGTTTGGAAAAATGAAAATTGCTGATAATTAGGTGTGAAAGCCTGTGAGGGAGAAGAGAGTGGAGAAAGGTTGCAGAATGATTATTTGTATTAAGAGCTGAGCACAGCTGGTGGCATTAAGAATTGGTACACTCTTTTGGAGGGGAGTTTAGTAATGTGCTAACACTAAGACAGCAATGCCATGGCTAGGAATCTATCTTAGGACCATGCTTGCACATGTACAGCAAGGTGTTATGTAAGCATTGCTTGCATACATGGAAAAAATAAACATCTATGTCCATCAATATGAAAATGCTTAAACAAATTATAAAAACCCACATTTTAGAATAGTTCATGGCACAGCTGGTTACACATTAGACGGCTACGTGAAAGTTCAGAATGTGAAGCCATCATGGGTGACCTTTCTGCTCCCATAAAGATTTACAGGCTCTTGTGTGATCACGAGGTGTCGAAGGGATCAGGCATCAGGCATCAAAAACCAAAAAATAATATCATTGTAAATGAGGGGGAGTGCAGAGTGGGGACCCAAAGCCCATCTGTAGGCAACTGGACATCCCCTTACTGAAGGGTCTCGGGGAGGAGATGAGCCAGTCAGGGTGCAG